CTGTATATTTATTTGACAGACACTGTGGCTGTTAAGTAATATCCCGGTTGTAACCATGTTTTTATATAATATAGAAGAGAGCCTAATTATTTATGTCCATTTTTGATTCATTATCCATGTTGCTGTATATCTGCACAGGTGTGTCTTTGATGTCTTTACATAACAGAGAGTGTCTGTCAGTTCTCTGATCTCTGGTGATCTGATCTCAGGCATTATTAATGTGTTATGGCTGTAGTGACCACACAACAGTATATTATTATTAGAATTTGTAGAATTACAGTTTACACTTCAGACCTTAATGAGACACGTGGTGCCACTGTGGACCTGTGCTAGCAAAGATTAGCAAGCTCTGGTCAGGCTACACAAAGACAGGCACTCATTATGCTCAGCATTGCACAAATATGCCGATGTTTTCACTCAACAGCAGCATTATGTTCTCTGCCACTGCTGCTGTTATATAACTGAAAGTGGCAGCTATTTTTATGTTTTTTGTGGTTCAGTGGGTCAATAGCTCAAAAACTAATTTGAATTTCAGGGGGAAAACATTATAACAGACTGTTGAAAAAAATGCCTGCTTTTGACAGGTTTTTAAAAAACTTTTTACCAGTCAATAGTTAACACTTTATAGAACCCCCAAGGTTGTATGGCCTAAAACCTATCGTATATTTATCACAACAAAATCAAAGAAAGCTTTTTAAAAATCTTATTCCATATTTCCAAAACTTCTCTTTGTGAATGTTCAGGTCCCACTACTTTCCCCATCTCTAGTAGTTTCTTGTTAATTTGAGGAATTTGAAAACGAAGAGCAGCTATTATTTTTAACATTTACACAACATTTACACTGCTGTAACTGTTAGCCATGTGACAGGCTGGCGACCTGTCCAGGGTGTGCCCTGCCTCTAGATACACTAGTAAGGATACACTAGCAGATACAGTAAGCAGAAGATGGATGGATAAAAGTGAGTTTTCAAATTGTCCAGTCATAAAAATATGAAGCAACTACACCATATTAGTCATAGCCTATGTCTCCTTGTGCCTTATTGTGTTAGCACTGATGTATACAGAAAAATGGCTAATCTTAGTCTCTTTAGATATGGGTTCAAATTCCCAAAGTAGGTAAGGTTGTGGGGGGACAGATTTTTCTATTTTAACTGCATTAACAAAATGGCCAAAAAGAAATAAATAATGACATTTCCAGAAGAAGGTTGTTATTGTTTTAATAAAACTTAAATTTTAAATATTTAATGAGCTGCTTTTATATAGTGTTTACTGCTGTTATCTGACACAGTTGGCCCTCATATTGCTAATTTAGCATATACTTCAAAATAAAAGACTTTATTTTTAGTTGTTTTAGTAGTTGTTTTAAAAGAAAAATGGAATTCTTCCAAAAAACATAAATGTGTAATATACGGAGATGCTACAATGGCCAAAGTGCAAACGCATATGGAGGAAAATGCAGGGGTCATAAGAGGTAACCCTGTGCTTAATACGGGGACTTGGTATCACCAGGCCAATCCCACTTTGAGACCCAATCAGGACAGAGTCCCATATGATACAAGAGAGATCAGTGCTCTCAGATACCTACTGCAGGACATCCTGAACAGGCAGCACTTGTGTTATACCAGACTGGTATCTGCAAACAGCAGGACTTCAGACTCTAAGACTCAGCTGGATTGGCTTTACATGCAGCCAGGAGCAGCTGGAAGAGGCTGCTCCTCTCATAAGTCCAAGTCTAAAACAGTGGAGAACGTCAAATGTGGATACTGAAGAGAACAACACAGCTAACACAGAAAATAATCATACAACTGCTAAACCAGACAAGATTATCTAAGACCTGCAGGAAGAAAGAAGTGCTGCAGAGCTGTGTGTGCAGTCTTCAACCTAAACCACTGAGGCTTCACACACAGACAGGCTGATCTGCTCATCCAGGGAAGGAGCAGTGACACCTCAAAGAGCAGCAGAGGTTCAGCTGTGAAGTTACTGAGCTTAAAAGTTAAGCTCTGCACCAATGAGACCCTTCTTTGAAAAAAATAAAAAATTAAAAGCCACTGAATTTGGACCAAGAACTGCATAGAACCAAAGCCTCATACTTTTAAGTATGAGGCTTTCTTTACATAAAGTCATGGAGGAGCAAAAACAGGAAAGCAGCAACATCACGGATGAGCTTTCAAAAGAAGAGGCAAAGAAGACTTTGCATCTGCAGGAGACTCTGCAATGAAAGCAAGAGAACAAAACCATTATCACCATCATCACTGGCCGAACTCAAAGCCCGAACTAAGATTATGTCAGAGAGAAAAGTCCAAAAGGAAGTAGCAACCATGGCTAATTAAGTCATTCACTTCACTGACCTCAACACAGTCATTAAAATGATGATTATATACAACTACAAAGCTTTTTAGACTTGGGTTTACGCTCCGGATTAAGTTCAGATGCAACTTTTGGTTTAGGTTTGAGTAGGAGAAGCTGTTTTTTTCCTGACCTGAAGTAAAGTGTTTCCAGTGTCTGAACACAACTGTGAAAAGTGCAGAGTTTTTGATGGGAAAACATTGTCAGTGAACACATCACTGATATAATCAATGATAATGTATTTGAGAACATATTTGCTGTTTGCTGTTGAGCTGTTTCTTCAACAGCAAACACCGAAAACTGATATTTGGTTGTTTATAAAGAGATTGGACTACATCAGAACAGTTCAGCTTTGGCTGAATGAGTGAATTATTGGATATGACCAATAAAAAAGCATAAAAATAAAATATCAGAATAGTGATGAGTCATTTTGGTACAAAAGGTAAACAGGATAGAAAGAAATGTTAAAAAAATAATGTAGAATTTAAATAAACTGTACTTTTTGCTATGTTTTTATTTTTCGTAGTTGTTTTCTTAAATATACTGTATTCCCCATGCAAACAAGGTATCTGCAAGGAATCTCCATGTGTGTCACTCTTCTTTGGCCATCTTAACAACTATTTATCCGATTGGTCCCGAATCACATTCCTTTGCAGATATACAGGAATAACAAACACAGGAATGTGCTTGCTGAGTTGTGGCTGCACTACTTGCACCACTCCAGAGACAACTCAGGATCCGCCTCATAAGCCTCTGTGTAATAGAAGTGCTTAACCCACAGATCTCTTTTTGAAACATCATTTTGATCATAAGTGGAACGAGAGAGAATAAAAAGAAAAATTACATTGAATCATTTGATAATTACGACCGCTCTGCTGCACCACCCTCAAAACGTATCCCGCTGTGGGTGTTTAATAGAAAGGATTGATGCAAGACTGGGGACATCTACCCAGAATACCCCATATGCATTATTAATAGCGATTAATAAAGTGCTGCTCACATGTTACATAATCACTGACATCCACATGGGTCATCCTACTGCTGACCAGCAATTCATCGTGCATGCTTTGTGAAGTGACTCTCCTTCCTATCCTCATGCTTCTGTTACTTTTGCAGGAATCACCACAGTGCTGACCATGACCACGCTGAGCACAGTGGCCAGAAACTCTATTCCTAGAGTGTCCTACGTAACCGCCATGGACCTGTTTGTCACCGTCTGCTTCATGTTTGTCTTCGCTGCCATGATTGAGTACGCCATGCTCAACTACTACTCCTACAGTATACGCAGACCTCCCCCAAAGAAGAGAATGGTAAGCCTGTGGTGAGTGTATGAGTAATGAGTAGCAAAAAGGAGGACCACGTGCATCAAACTTGCATTCTTTCTAACAACCACCAGGGAGCGACTTATTGTTTGCAAAAAGGAGTGTGATTATATAGAAGGCTATGAGAAAACAGGCCTATGTTTCACTTGATTTATGAGCTCTGTAAGCACTTTTTCAGTAGGTTTATGGTCTCAATCACTCGCTTGAAGTCTTATTCAATCCAACCTGAGGTTCATTTTCTAAATTATGGTCCCATTTAGAGTAAAACAGACAATAAACCAGGGTATGTTAGGGGACAGCTATATTGTGATGGACTTGACACTAGGATTAGGATTAGGATTCAACTGTATTGTCATTGCACATGTATAAATACAGGGTAACAAAATATATACTACTGTATGAGAATGCAGTGCTCTTTGTGTGGTAGCAGCCAAAATCCCAAACTTAAGACCACTGTTTCCCAACCACTGTATGTGCTGCGAAATGATCATGTGTGCCGTCGAAGATTAACTGGTTCCACCTGATTAGTACTCTAAACCAGCGATCCCCAACCCACGGGCCACGGGCCACGGACCAGTACCGGTCCGTGAGTCGTTTGGTACCGGGCCATGAGAGTTGAGGTGGGTGTGAAATTTATGGTTTTCAGGGTTTTTATCATTTTTTATTGTGATTTTTTTTTTATCTTTTTTATCGTTAACTTGGTTTCCCAGGGTCTTTTCCTGTGTTATGAATAAATCTTCTTTTTTTTGGTACTGGCACTGGTTTTATTTTGTTGTTTTTATCCGCAACACCTTAAAGGCCAGTCCGTGAAAATATTTTCGGACATAAACCGGTCCGTGGCGCAAAAAAAGGTTGGGGACCGCTGGTCTAAGGCAGAACAATTACATTCTCTTCCACTAGAGGGCAGTTGAACTACACTTCCTACAAGAACTGGGTAGCCAATTGCCATTAAAACAGACGAAGATGAAGAAGAAATGACATAATAGTCATGCTGTGAGACGACACAGTGCGTAATAGCAATAACTAAATATTTGAAAAGAAAAAGTAGTCAATTTGACCTGGGTCCTGGAGAAAACTCCGACCCAGATGAAGGCCCTAGCATGAGTAGTGGTCAGAAGAAAGCAACAAGGTATACTGGGGACAAACCGAGCCAATTCCACTATACCTGGTGCGTGGGGGAAAAATATCAATAAGTTTTTTGTGACATTTTTTTTTTGGTGGTGTGCCATGTCATTTTTCTAATGTGAATTATGTGCCGTGGCTCTACAGGGTTGGGAAACTCTGCTTAACACTATAAAATGGTACCTGAAGCCAAAGAGGCTAGGTCCAGCCTTATGAACAATAGCAAGAGAAGAAGGGATTCCGAGAAGAACAGAAACCCACAAACAAATAAAGACAGACTACAGACCAGAGCTGGACTGCGACAATAAAATCAGCCCTGGCAGTTTCAGTCCAGACACACCACCATGATCGCTCTTACACACACATTATGTATATATTTCATTTTGTTTGATTATTGGTATTAAAACAGGTTTTAATCAGGTTGGTACAATTGTTGTTGGGTTAGGATAGTTGGTTTGCACAACAGCATGTGATAATTAAAAGCTCAAGTTTAGCTATTGCAGTGGCTCAATTTTACTTTACCTGAATCATTGAATCTCTCCCTTCCTAATTATGTCCCTCCATATATTTTCTTACAGCCTTCTTCTTCTTCTTCTTCTACTTGTCACCTTTCTCCACCTCTTCCTCACTCTGTTGTTAGGACTCCTACCCCTGCACATCTCCACAGTTTCCATCTTGTCATAAGTAGAAAAAAGGTGACCAGACTATATTTTTATCAGTTTGTTTCCCTTTTAAATCTGTGTTTTCATTGTAACCACATTTCTAGTTACCTGTTTAGGAATGATAGGTTACGGTCTAGCCCTTTTACAAAGTTGTTGCCTATTTGGAACACCCAAATGGAAAAGCTTTGGAAAAAAAAAAAACTGTAATGCCAAATTCATGCACGAAACACGAAACCCTAGCAGGTTGCTGACGACCCGGTGGGTGTAAAGTGGTTAAGGTGTCTGAAGAGGAAAGAACGCGACTGGATACTTTCTTTCACTGTCTTCGCTGTAATCACACCAACCTTCAAAAACTGATATTGATTCGATCCATAGGGTGCCCATATATATATATACACACACAATATCTACCCAGGAGTTTGACATGTCTGTATTAGCACATGTGTGCAGCTGAATGCATTTCTTTTCTACCCGCCACTCCTGTATGAGAGCCTACCACTCTGTGTGGGCGTTCTCAAGGCTGCACCTGCCACGAATGCTTTAATGGCGTCTGCGCACATCTACTAAGACTGAGTCAGCCACTGTTGCTGTCATTTCCCTCTCTCCAGATCCCCTCCCTATTCATTATTTTCTCCCAGTGTAGAGGAGTTCTGCTGAATGTGTCTCAGGGCTAAAACACACTGCCAGCTCAGGCTGAATAATTAAGTTGTGTTACATACAGTCCCCTCCTCTGAATCTCTGACTCTTCACTGTATTCTGGCCCACTCTGTCTGTGGGGAAGCCCCCCCCCCTCCCAAATCACTACCATTCGTGTCCTTCCCTTGTACTGCCCACTCCGTCAAATCTCTTACTCCACACGACACATCTAACGATTCCTCTCTCTCGCCTACCACCCTTCCTTCAACAGAGTAGTGGAGGACGGGAAACCATTTAAAAAAGATTTTAACCCAATTAGTTGGTCTCGCATGATTTCATAAACATCAGGGAGAAAGTCATGTAACAAATTTTCTCAGGAGGTACTTATTTGGCAATGGGGTCTGAAAAAATTCTTTCTACAGCTGCATTATGTGAAAGATGAAAAAATAACAAAACATAATTCTTAGCCATTTGTACTTTTGTAAATCAGCTTGTTTGGTTTACAATATGATTGAACACTGTCATTAATTTCAACATCCCAGAAATCCTTGTGCTGTTAGAAATTGATTACACAAAATGTTATTGTTGGTACTGGTTTATTTTTTTGTTATAACTGATAACAGCAGAAATATGAGTTTTTAAGCACTCAAACACATCGATAAATATATGCCATGGCTTTGTGTCTTTATAATCTTTCTATTTTGGAGAAATGATAAATCATACAGAGTGTGGTAATTTACTGAAGGCACAATTTCTCCTTTAATACTTTAATGAAATATAGTGCAATACAACAAAAAGGTCACTGCTTGAAAATATTAGCAATCATCTGAACAATGGAGCTTTTTATGAAGTGGTAGTGCTCGAGACTTCTTGTTATGTCGTGCAACTAGCTTATTAGGCTAATGATGATAATATATGTCAGTATCTGCATCGTTTTACTATAGTTGGTGACCTACAAAGAAGTAGCCCAGGCTCGTGGCAAAATGTGAAATAGTTTTGAACCTAAAGTATTTAAGTGGAAAGAAGAATGTAATTTTAGCATTCGTTTTTGCAATTTTTAGAACAAAGACATAAAATTACTAACATTCACTAACCACCTAAAAGAAAAAGAAAGGCTTGCAACATAGCTAGATATGTGTAATGCTACAGTTACAGGTGGTTGGAGCCCACAGCCCAACCAAAATTATTGTAACTTTATGCAATGAACTTATAATCTTGGGTGACAAGGTTTGCAAATACTTGCAGTTAGCTGTTGTCTTCTAAGTATGTTTGGTGCCTCAAGACAATGATAAAATGGCAATAAGGTCAAGTTGGCAGTTACAAGAAAGTATCTGTTTATCACAAATTTGTTGCTGTCTGTATACTCAGAAATCAACATTAAACAGAAAGTCACATTTACTACTTCTTCAGAGTCCAGCCGAAACCTCATAGATTTGAAAAAGATATTCAGAAATCTCTCCACATATAGTGACATAGTTGCTAGTGGACAAACTTTTAACAGAAAAATAACACAGGAGCTTGGCAACCTGTGGACTGGGCTAACCACAGTCTATTAATGCACTTAACATTCATCAGCATAGACTGACCAACTGATTGCAGCATGTTGACAATCTGTATATGTTTATACATTAGTAGTCAATTATATGCAAACCTTTGCCATTCTGTCAGTCTTAGTCTGACTGTGATTGTGTGGAGACAGGTTGTCTCCCACCAGGCAACCTGTGCAATTGCATTTTGATTAAAATTTGGCTGCCACAACTACTTGCAGTTGGTCACTGAATGTGAAAAATTGTAATCACTAGGTAACCATCAGTTTTGCTTATTGCAAAGACACTGCCATCCTACTTTTATATTAGTGTCAAAAAATGTCTTCAAGTACCTCTAAAATGTCTCTGAATTATGGAGTTGTGTGACCCCGCCCCCCAAAAATGATGTAAGCTAGATCACAAATTGGCTGTTGATGTTGGACCTGGACTAGCACTGAGATTAGAAGCCGAACATCAGATACACTTGTTGACTAACTAAAGCCTAAGATTGCTAGCTGCATTGATGATCTGGACTTTCTATGCCTAGCTGTGGCTTGTAATTTTGATGTGACAGTCATTGCTTCGGGAATAGATTACATAAGTCTTAATTAATTCACCTATTCTCTCTCTCCGTTTTTATCCTAGGCCTACTCGTCTTTCAACATGGGTCCCACCCCTCGGCCTATGATGCCCATGGGCAACTCCTTGTTCTGGCATGACTATGACGACAGTTGTCTGCACGAGTGCCTGGATGGAAAGGACTGCAAGAGCTTCTTCTGCTGCTATGAGGAGTGTAAAGAAGGCGGCTGGAGGAAAGGACGGATCCACGTCAACATCCGTGAGCTGGATGCCTACTCCCGGGTTTTCTTCCCCACCTCGTTCTTGCTCTTTAACATTGTGTACTGGGTCAGCTACCTCTACCTCTAGTCTGTCTCAAGCCGTGATGTGTGGGCACTGCTGAAACAGCCCGCGGCACTTTGCACCACGGCTTGTGATTTGAGGTCAGTGCTAAACGTAGGGGAAGAAATGAGGTGGATCTGCTGTGTGGGACTTGTGAGGGACATGCTGCCTCTGGAGTGATATGACGTATTCAAAAATACATGTGTGCTCGGGTGCACAGTGTAAAGGCCATGATACTTTGAGCAGTGCCACTCCACCGTGAATAAATCGCTCAGCAGTAGAATAACAAGCCGCCAGCATTAACTTGAATGGATGAGTCCCACTTATGACTCTCTCAGAAACCAAACAACAGACAGCTGTGACTTCAGAGACATTTGGGAACAGGGGTTGCAGAGCTGACTCTTGGTCGTGGAGATGGCGAAGCACCCATAGTGCCTTCTTTAGAAAGGGTGCGGCACCGAGAGAAGCAGCTTCAGAGTTCCCTTCATTATCTTTATTACCTCATCCATCACACCGCCGCATGCTGAGCTGTTTAGTCTTTGATGAAACAAACCCAGAACACAGTTCTCACCACTGGAGATGTTTAAAAACCAACGCTCACCATTCATTTCGTAGCACATTAGTTTTAGTTGTACCCTAGAATTTGTTCCCTTTTTGAGCATAGTTGTTTTCTTGTTCTTCTTCTTATTGGAACTTGTTGTTCTTTCACAGCAGGTCACATCAGCTGTTACTTGTTAAATATGGGTTCAAGCCAGGGGCAGTGGTTGTATGGTAAAATCTTATTTATTGAGTCAGTGACTGTTTTGTTGAACATGACTATTTTGTTTGAACATGCCGTTTACAGTACATGCCAAGAAGATTTGGGAGTTTTTAATGAATGCTGGGCTATATTCGCACACAACAACTATATAAAAACTGCATAATGTCTGCAGACTGATCTAAAACTACCTGGGCATATTTTGTATGTTGCAGTAAACAGATTGGGGTTGGAGTACTGCTGCTTTTTTCCAAGAACACATCAGTTTAAAACAAAGGATTTTTTTTCTTACTTAAATAGACTTTGAGATTTTTAATATAATTTATGCATTACTTATGCTTAAAGGAAAAATTGGATATTTCCAAAATTGTACTTTATATTCTCAAATAATGGTCTTTATTTAGCTCTTTATTTAGTTTACTGGTAGAAGACTTCATTCGGGGCTTGTAGGTTTATTTTAGAGAGAGGTTTTAATTCCAAATGTATCGTTATTCTAGTAAAAGCAAAATGAATTTAATGCATTTACCTTTTGTCTATATAGGTTCTATGTATATAATTTATAACTGAAATAGAGTAACAAAATATTAACTGGCCTTTTTCCCTGAATGACATTATCCCTCCTTATTTTTATTATCCAACAATTTACTTGTGCTTCTTTCAGGAACACTTACTTTAGAGAATGAATAGCATGGCTTTCTTTGCCAAGAGTTCATTAAGGAGATTAATTAATGCCTGAATGTGAAATTAGCAGCCAGTAGCTAGCAAGCCTGATACAAACATTGAAACTTGGGAGAAGCATCCAGATCTGCCTAAAGGGATATCTGCCAGGACCTGTAAAACTTACAGTTTTTGGACTTGTAAATTCTTTGGCAACTAAAGACATAAGTTAGCACTTTTACTCTTAAGGTTAAACAGTAACTAGTTAGCGAGTTTTACGTAGAGCTATTAAACAAACTTTAGTCTTTTTGTTTTTTTCTGATTTGACAGTTGTTAAATACAGTTTAACATTTGGCATACCGAAATGAGAATATACACTGTATATAAAAGCTAGCCAAGGGCCACTATGATTGGTTCAAGTTCAATGTTGAACACAGTTCTCATCCCCCCCACCCCACCCCCCCACAAGCCACTTAAACCCTGAAGAAATGCATATATGCTGCACCTGGCCCATTCAGTTTCAGAAGTATAGCTTGAGTGTATTAAATTGAAGCCCTGATGAAAGCTTCAGTTTTGCTTACTTTTTATTTTCAGTCAAAAATTGAAAGGAATCTCTGATGTCCTGCCAGGCCCTTAAGGCACATCGTCCTGTGCCCAGGTGGAAATAATCCCAGGTACTGTAAAATAGGTTCTACATATTGTGATATCACATACACAAATGCACACACACAAAAACACACACAGATGCTACATTGGACAGTGTTGAAAAATGGATGATACAAGATTCTTTTTCATGACTCTAAATGGAGTCCCACATCCCCTCCTCAAACAAAATTGATGCCATATGTGGAGGCGTGCAGACACACACGTTGGACTGGGCCAGTGGCATTTCAGACAAGCTTTTGTTTACTGTAAGGTGTTTTTTGCAGTTGTTTGGCTTTGTAGAACAATCAGCCCTTTTCCTCTCTCCTTCCCAACACACACACTTTTTCCCTGGTATTTGTATGTTCAGAGAAAAGCTTTTATGTAAGTTGTATCTAATTAATGTTTCTATTTTCATACAGGTATATATGGAATGTATGTTAGGCCAGTAGCAAGGCCAGAGTCAATCTGGTTTCAGTTCAGTCAGTTCGAGCAGCTTAGATGAGTTTATATTTAAGGATCCCACATATTTTATTTATGAGGCCTCCAAGAGCCATTTGTGTCCTGTCCAGAGGTTTTTAAGTAAAAATCAAATAGCCTCAAGGTTGCTGGACAAAACAACAGAACAACCAATTAGTTGTGGGCCACATCTTATTCTGCTTATTTAACTTCTTTAATGTCCACCAGGTCATTGGCAAACCATCGAGGCTTTGGAATTTTGATTTTAGCCCATGAAAAAAAATGTATGGACATTTTCAAAAACTAGGAAATGTTATATTTCAAATGACGTCTCATATATAGAGGCATTACACTTTTCCTTATAAAAGATTTATCATTTGGATTTTCAAACAGTTCAACTTTCTACAAAAAGGAACTGTAACCCTAACCCTAGAAGGAACGCCAATGACCTTGCGATAGTTAAACCCTTAACCTCTACCATCTCATGGGATAATTTCCATAGAATTTTTTCCTATTGGAGCTACCATTTACCATCAAATGGTCTAGGGTTAGGGTTATAGTTACATTTTCCTGTAGCAGCACACTAAATAGGTACATTTTTCAGAACTAGAGCATACAAGGGGGTGGACATTATCCCTACCCCTAAGGCTCACAGGTAACCAGGTGAGTATTAAGTGGTTAATACATTAGCTCAAAAGAAATGGTGACACACCATTAGTAGTTGATGGATCTATGTAGTCTAAGGAGCTTGGAAAGAAAAGCGTCTGGACTTCTTTAAGTAGCTTGAAGTCATTTCACCTCTCATCTGAGAAGCTTTTTCAGTTCTAAAGTCAAATGGTGGTGGAAAATCCCAGATTTAAGCCCAGTGGGGGTGTCCCCCCAAGAGGCACATGGACCCTCTTGGGGGGACACTCCCACTGGGCTTAAATCTGGGATTTTCCACCATTTAACCTTTGACTACGGTTAAATGTTGGCCTTTGACTACGATGACCTGCATGACTGAGAACCTTCACAGACATCAATCAATGTAACTAACTGTGTAAGAACTGACTGAATTGACCAGAGCTTGGGCAACACCGCAGTAAACTCTCCTCACCTCTGATATTTCTACTACACTTTATAAGTGTCTTAGTCCATGTAGATACTTCAATAAAATCAAATATCACTATTTTCTACGTCTTAACAAAAAATCACCTGTGTGTTTCAGTTGACTGGGACCTGTGTTTATAAAGCCTCTTTGCAATCAGAGTACTAACCCAGGATCAGCACTGGCGAGCATAATGAAGTCGCTCATGAGCCTCTCCCAGAGACCTCATCACCCCCATTAAAATTTCCCAGCTCGTGTGAAAAGTGAAGAGTCATTGGCACAGAAAAGGTGTCAAAGAAATCACTTCCCTTTTTGCCCTGCTCACCAAGTTTGTTGTGATTGTCAGTGAGATCTCTGAGGAGTCGGGCGGGGCTGCAGGATTTTTTAAAAAGCCACTCTGCTCTTGGATCAGCACTCCAAGGGGAAATATTTTATGAAAACTGACTCTGGAGTGAAATAGATATCTTTTTTCTAGTGCGTGGTACATTGCTTATATTAATAAATAACGTTTTGGTCAAGTGCTACTGTGATGTCTTTTTGTGTGAAAGTTTTTAAGAGTGTTGCTTAGTGGTTAGTCGGGAAAAAAAGTTGTGTGTTACAGCAAGCCTCTGGTAAATTGCTGGAAGGTGTCAAGCAAAACAGTTGAGAGGGTTTGGAACTGTAAAAAGACAACAACTGCAATTTTTCCTAGGTGAATTTCCATCACTGGGGGTTTACTTTTGTACGCAAAAGGGGATCTACTCTATATGCTTCCTACTATCCTTTCACTGGACTTCAATGCCATGTCACTTTGCTCCCAGTTCCCAAAGATCTGAAGAAGATGGATTATTGATACCATTATCAAATGTTTGACCATGTGTCAAAGCCAATTCAGAGACTGTAGATGACCATAGTGCCACAATACACTAAGATTGAGGTCATAAAAGCTACAGATGCACAACTCTTTTGACCCGAATTTGCCAAAAAATGTCAGTTCAAATTTGCTTTATTTGTAGAGCTCCAAATAAGCCTCACCCCGTGATCACAACCTCGGTGACTTTGACCGAGGCATGCCTGCTAGTGTCAGACAGGCTGGTCTGAGTGATTTCAACACTCCTGACCTTCCTAGAGTGTCATATACAACCTCTAGAGTTTATGCAGAAAGGTGCAAAAAATCTGCTGGTGATAACAATTTGCAAATGGAAACAACTTGTCGATGAAAAGGTTAGGAGGAGAATGTGCAGCCGCTTCAAGCTAACTGGAAAGTTACTGTAAAATCGTGTTATAATAGTATTTTAATAGCAATATTGAAAGAAAGTACTTTAGGGACAATATGTGAGGCTTGCAAAGTTGGTGTTGGAGGAAGAGGTTTGTCAACCAGAAGACATGACTGTGTCTCACTAACACCTTGTTTTAACTCTTTAATTGGTGTCACCAGCGCTGGCTCTTTACTTTCAGTTTCAATCACTGGCTGAGTTTAGGCTCCAAAAACACTTTGGTTTAGGAAAAGACTGTGCTCTGGGTTAAAATGCACCCATTCACGACACTAACCTTCAACATGTAACATGACACTCACTAAGGGCATTTCAAGTGGTCCTTTAAAAGCTCTCATATTGAGGCTCAGGTCATACTATTGTCATGACCTGGCACATCATGCCACCCACGCCAAAAGACACCTGTGAAATGCCAGCGGTTTTGGCAAAAAGGATGAATCATTTGCCCTGTGGACTGACAACCAAGTCTTTATGGCTCCTCCAACCCTAAGGGGGAAAGACCATGTTAGGTTCCAGTCCTGTCAGTCTAGAACATCAAGGTTGATGCTGCAGTGGACACAAGTCTACCAAAACTGTTGAAGAGAGCAGCAAATCATTAGACTCGTTGTTTTCTGAGGCTGCAGTCTGTAGGCTCAATCAAGACAAAGGACCTGATTTAGTTACATGTTGTGCGTGCACACAGTGACAAGTAAGAGCTAAGAACTCAGAGAGTTTTGTGACTGATCCTGCTGCATATGTATTTCTAAGACTTCCTTTCTAAAGGGGTAAAATATAGCAATCAGACTTAACATTATGACCACTGACAGTGACAATGAATACAACTGATTATCTCTTCACCATCACACCTGTTATTGGGTGGGATAGGGAGCAAGTGAACATTTTGTCCTCAGAGTTGATGTGTTAAAAGCAGGAAACAATACGAAGAATTCTTAATAATAAATCCTTTGAGTCCTCTGATGAAGAAATTTCTTATCCACAAATATGGTTAAAGAGAAGATTCACCTAAATGACCCAAGAAGGTTTCATTTGATTAAGCTCTTGGTGGTATTATCTTTAACCTTGAAATGACTACTAAGTTCCAAATTTACAGAAAATGTATTTGGCTAGTGCACATTCATTGGTTTTATAGACTTTTAATCCAATGTTCTGATTGGTATATTCACAAATTAGGACGTCTCTGTACAAAGAATGATTTAAAACTGTCTTGAGGCAGTCTGCTTGCCTAATAACAATGATACCACTGATATCCAGTGACAGATGCATGAGCATGTCACTGCTTTACCGCGAGTTTGGAGACCTAGTTTGAAGCAAGCGGCATGAACAGAGTACAAGCGAGAGACAGATAAATAAGTGGAGTCAAAGGGTGGCTGTTCCAGCGTAGCTCCACCACCGCAAAAACTGGAAGAAGCTCCTGCCACCTACGCGGTGCAAAAAGCAGGATGGCATGCTTGCGCTGCAGTGAATGCGGAGAAAGAAAACCCCAGCACAGTGTAAAACTGAGCTGTCAGAGTACGTGTGTGTGAATTTAACTCATGAATTTGTTCATGCCTGTGAAATGACAGCTTTGCTTGAAAGAGGAGCTGACACGCCTTGTGAGAAAACCTACTGTAGGGAATATGTGCATGTTCGCATACTGTACTTTCATAAGGTAAAATGTTCGTGCGTGACCACATGGCTGCCTAAGTGAGGACGGAGTCCTTTTAGTAGTTTAGTGTGTGTGCATTAATAGCACTACTGTGTTTGTGTATTTGTGTGTGTGTGTCTGTGATATGATATGAGAGTGTGTTCG